ATACAAAAAGGAAGTATAGCAGGACAGTCACGAAAAAAGTCTGTCCAAACTGCTTTGAACCCGAGTGAAGAGAACCTTACTCAAAATCTCGCATAGATGTCTTGGAAGAGATAACAACTACTGGTTTTGTAAAACAGGTAATGGAGCTGCAAACTTATAAAAACTATGAAAATCAATTTATGTGAAAATCAGCTATCCATTTATAGACTATAGCGATATTTGATTTTTCAGAATATAGCGATTCTAACGCTATAACTGCTCTAACTACATGACCCGGCTGTAAAAGCCTGTACAGACTATGAATTGTCCTTTTCGGATTGACATTATTTGTGTCTTTCAAAGTCTGAACATAAATCATGGCCTGGATCCTTATGGGATGATAGTTTATTAGAATGCGAAAGAATGTCTGACCAGATATGAAGCAGTGGCATACATGCCGACACTTCCGGTTGTGATCACTTTCAGTGCCTCCGACAGTCCAGTCAAGAAACCCCACGTCTCCCCCAGTAAAATGGAACTAAAATAAGGGGGCGGGTGAAAATTTGATATTCGATTGAGTCCATGCAATATCAAAAAGTATGTACATTTATATATCAAAACTTTGTTCAATGTTGCGCTTAATTGTCAAAAATTTGTTTCTGTAAAAACTGTTTTCATGAGCTTTTGTATATAAAAGTAGTAAGAGTTTTGGATTGTATTTCAAATCTCGATCTATCGCGCTTATTTATTATTTGTTTGTTTGATTTTATTTGAATTTTGAAGACACTAACTTTGTGATAGCGAAGTTTATTATCATGCATGTTTTATATTTTCATACGAGACAAAAATTGAAACGTTATTTTCAAACAAAATTCCAAGTAAAAATACTTTTATAGAAAAGTAAAAACTATTTCAGATAAACATCAAGAAAAATCGCCAAAATAAACTAAAATAAGAGAGGAACAGGGGCGGATCTAGGATTTTCTCGAAGGGGGGGGGCGGATTTTCAAAAAATTTTGACGACCTTTTTTTTTTGTTAGGTCGACCAAATTGATTTTTTGAGCTCTCCCAAAGCACTGTTTTGCCCCGTTTTTGGGCACTTTTTGAAAAATTTTGACAAAAAAATAGCGTTTTTTTGGCGCGCGCTCCCCCTCAAAGTTAGTATATATTGGCGCCCAAGGCGCCTTTAGAAAAATTTTAGGGTCGGTCGGCCAAAAAGGGATTTGTGAAAAAGTATCAAAGGGGGGACCCTTTGGGTCGGCAGGGGGTCGAATCCCTGAGGGGGGGGGGGGGGGGGGGGGGGCGTCCGACCCCCCGCCCCCCCTAAATCCGCCCCTGGAGAGGAAACTTGTTTAAATAGAAGCAATGTTGCAATGGGCACTAATTTTATCACAAATTATGGTTCACAGTAGGGAGAAATATTAAAATATTTTATTTTAAAATTCCGAGATTAAAACTCTCAGGAATTGTAAAAATTGACTATAAAAACAATTGTAAAAGCAAATAGTATCCATCCCTATAAAGATTGAATTCTTTTGTCAAACAAAGTGTCAACTCAACTGATCAAAATAGTTTAGTTCCGAATCATTACTACGAGACTAAATTGTGCACTGGATAGGTGCCCTGTTTAATGTGTGATCGTCACAGTCTTTAAACAAGTTCCAAAAAGTTAATGGTTTCCACCAAACGCCCGCGGACTCCGCGCACAATCACCTTCAGGTGTAAAATTTGTCGGTCAATTTGTCGATTCCGCAACGAACTAATTTAGCAAATTCTTCTGGTTTTGCAAAAGTAAGCTTTGTCCTTAAACTTGTAAGCAGATTCCGCGAATATAAATGAATTCGGCACATTTTTTATTAGCTTAAATTAAGCCACTTCTAGCCAAGACTCTAGGTTATTTAGCGAATGAGGTGCTGGAAAGGAAGGATTCAACTGTTTTCGTGGATTCTGATTACAAATTTTAATAAATGCTGAAGCCTAAATCAAAAATATAATTCTTTAG